CATCCATCCATCCATTCGTTCATTCATTCATTCATATCTTTAAAGCTACCAGTCATGTATTCGTCTTGTTATTGCTGTACCTCATTGTCAAATGGATTTTCAACAGAGATGGTCAGACCGTCTGCCACCACTTCTTTACTATTTGTTATGGAATAGAAAACAATACGAGCAGAAGGTGCCATGGCTGAAGTGGATGGTAAACTGAATTCTACATCTTTCACACCATTTTTCAAAGTCTTGCTGTCCATTTGCAATATTGCTCCTCTTGACAGGACCTGGTGAGTAGAGGTGAGGTTAATTTCATGCATGCCAAAGATTCTAGCTATTAGGGAGCTGAGGCTTACATGAACATACAAAAATAAATAACCTATTATCTGCAATACTGTATGTCTTGTTTTTCTTTTGTATTTTACTGTTAGCATCGCTCTCTAAATGGAAGCTACTAGTCTACTTCCTCTGATATGGTAGTATGCAGAGGTGTAACCAGGGGTGTAGCCACAAAGTATTAGCGCCCGGTTTCTCCATTATGCTGTAGAAACCAAAACATCTTTGTAGTCATGAGTTCAACTTAACGATGTTCTGAAAATGGGTTTTTCCCCACCGGGCCCTCCCTCCCTCCAAGGTGAAATCCTGGCTACGCCCCTGGCATATTAGATATCCTCATGATCAGGCTTCCATGTTTTCTGATAGGTTTGTTAGTTGCGCAGCTATTACGCATTATTCTGTAATGGAAAGGTATTCTCTAGTATCCTTGTGGCCCAAAAACAGAAACATCCAGAAACAAACACACCACCATCATCATCTTCTAACCCATTAAAACATTTTGTCAGGTTTTAACATTTTCCATTCATATGCCTATTTTGAGCTTTTTTGTTTTGCAGTTTATTTTCGTTTTCGATCATATGCATAGAACCTTTATCTTATAACAAAGTATTGGTAGATGGTCAATCAAGGTGTTCCTGCCATGGCTGTGAAATGCTAAGTTTCAAAGGACAATAAAAAGTGCCTAAAGGTATGTCATGGGAGTTGAGTTGATTTACTTGCTAAACTTTACTTTGTGGCTACATTCACAAATTGAGCATTCATTAGTTGATCAAGCTTTTCATTCTTATTGACTGAATGGATACATACCATAAAGACGTATGACTCCAGTGGGAAATTGCTCTTGACTCTGCACTGAATTGTTTCCCCAGACTGAAAGAAACAAATGAAAAGCAAAGATATTACTTTCTAAGGTAAGTTAGTTCAGCTGTTATTGTTTATTAGTTAGTAAAAGGAGATTTGCCAAAAATCCCAGAGAAATTAAACCTCTAAACTGTGAGAGATTTAGTTTTCTCTTTTTTTCTTCACTGAAAAACCACTCTGATTCAAGTCTCAAATATTTGGAATGGTTACTTTTTTTACCATTTTTACCATTAGTCAATCCATCCACCTACCCTTTTTCACCCATCCATCCATTCATCATCCATATGCACCCATCCACCCATCAATCCAGTGTCCACCAACTCATTCATCCAACTAATCATCTGTCCATCCATCCATTCATCTGTCCATCCATCC